CGATGGATGGATGAATTGGCTGCTTGGCGGATGAATTGGTTGCTTGGTTGGGTGGGCGTATGGTCAGCTGGATGGACCAGATGTGTTGGTGTGTGAGCCATTTGCAATGCAATAAAAAAATTTGCAAGGCTGCGTATGACAAAAATTAATCTTTTTGTTGATGAAATGAATTTTCATTCTCTTCATATATATATATATGTATACAAATGTATGCAGAACGAATAAAAATTGCAAAATTATAGTGACCGCCGCAGGAATGTGACAGCCAAAGCTTTTTTAAGCATCTTTTGTAATTTATGTGACAATCGAGAAGCGAATAGAAGAAAAAAGGAGAATTAATAAATAATATTATTAAAAAATAAACAACAATAGACGGTCAATAGCAGCAGATGAGTGGTGGCAGAGGCAGGCGTGGAAAAAAATATCGTAGGGAGAGGAAAGAGCGTGAAGTGTGTTTCTCCGCATTGCCATCACCTTGCTTGGGGGGCTCTGAGCGGTGACTTGCCGGTGCAGAAGTCAGCCACCCGAGGCAATTTTTCCAATTTTTTTAAATTTTCTTATTTTTTTTTGTTTCTTTTTCGTTTAATATAATAAATATTTATTGTTTTTAAACAAGAATTTATTTATTAAATACTAAAATGCGATTATAACCGTTTAAAGTGCTCGACGTGAATTTTTGTGTTCTCATAAAAGTGATGAACTATTTTATAAATCAAGAAAAAACAAATTTTAAAAAAATTTGACGTAAAAAAAATATCTAGTAAATAAGAGGAGGGAGGAATGTCTGCAAAATTTGTTTTCCCCGTCACAGAACCAAAGAATGTTGAACTAATTTGCGGTCTTGTGCGGTCAAAGAACTCTAGCTGACGCTTGTGTGCCAAATAAAATAAAATCAAGTAGGGTTACAGAAGTTCGGTTAGACTCGAACTTTAGATGCTCGGTCATTATTTAATATTTAGTCTACTTACCCATTCGGACCACATGACGAATCCAGCGCATTCGCTCTTTCTTGATTCGATGAACTATGTCAACGTCGCGGTATATCTCATACAACTCATCCTTCCATCAGTTCAGAGGACCAACAATTTGATTCGAAACTTTTTCTCTTGAAAATCCCTAGAGCCGACATTTGGTGAGTTGTCTTCGTTCATGTCATATATAATAGCAGGCCTAGAATGTTGAGCGACTTGTAGAGTTTGGTCTTCGTTGAGAGAAGACAGCGGGCAACACCTATTGGCCAGAGTGATTGTGCGTTGGATTTCATGTACAATATTAAATCCACAGGTCAGCCTGAAATGGAAAGTCTGTTATATGGGTGGTACAAGTAGATCTATTTCTGGGCCAAAATTAAGGATTTTCGGTATGTATTTAGTGCCCTCTAAAAGTAGCATACCTACGAAGATTGGTTGAGTACGTGGGGAAGAGACGAACAGAAGGAGTAGGCCAAATCAATGTAATATCCACATCAATCTTTGTTATATATGTACTTCAGTTGGTTCTGCTGAGTGTAATTTGGGTTCAAAATGCCCCAGCCCCCCTCCCTCTCTCGCTCTTATATCAGTAATTATTTTAGGGCCCGCTATTTTAAAGTTTTAACCTCTCATTTTACTTAGGAAGAACCATGCAATCGCAAGTAATGCCCGCGCCGGACTTTAGTTTTTACTCGCATTTCCCAGAATCAAGTCATATTAGGAACCAAAAAAATATATTTTTTTTGAGAAATAGTCTTCCGTAGAAGCGATTCGAGTTTCGTCGATACCAGCAAAGTTTCGGTACCTGAAAGTTACTTCTTTTGATGCCTAGCCTTTGGCATTAGATTTTAAGGTAAATGACCTCAAAAACAGCAAAGGGTATATAGTGTAGTCCGCTTTATGTGATGGGGTCAGCTATTGTGACCTAAGTGTTTTGGAAGTCTCACATCGTTTCAACAGTGTTAATGAAAATGCCTAAATTAAACTGTTTTAACCTAAATCAGGGTGTCTAGAAGAGAGTGACAAGAAGTTTTAATCTCAACTTTATACAAATTACACACGCTATACAGATCTGAAACTTAGAAATGTAGAGTTCAGAGGAGCTTCTGACAGATATCTTTCGAAAATGCTCTTCGGATAAATATTGAAAGATCTCCAGCTTACACGTATTTGTCAACTCCAGACTCCATTCCGATTAGCCATTCATTGAAATATTGTAGTAAGGGCGGATAAAAGGTTCAAAGGGGTCAATTGCTGGAACGTACGATACATGGGGACGGGAAACTGTATTTTCAAAACACTACACGGAGGCATTCTATTCTAGGAAACCAATTTCTTGATTAACCATCGAAAAATCAGGTATCATAAAGTGGGCGGGTCACTCGTGCGACTTCTAGAAAGATGTTGCCGTTGAGCAGAATATATTCACTTCTAAGGAAACTTACTGCCTCCGTCTGTTGAAAGCCATATTAAGCATTACTACACGGAAATGAAAGTAGTAGTATGGAGTAGAAACACACAGTAAGCCATTGGTTGAGCAGAATTTTTGTAAATCGGCAAACCAAAGCAGACCCATTGTTCCATTCCCATGAGCATAATGCTGCTTTTGCTTTGGATTAGTCAGTTTTGGATATTGCCAATGATCATATGATTATTTAAGAAAGATGCTTGAAAGTTATCGGTACCCCATTATAGGTCCCTTTTTTTTCTAATTTCTTCAGAAGGCCTAAAAGTGAACACTCCAACAGCGAGGGCGATGGTGTTACTTCCTTGATGCTCTGTTTTCTAGACAATTTATGGGCGACAACCAAGTCTTTGACATGTCCAATTTTTTTTTGTAATTTTCCTCTAAGTTTAATCAAAAAAGAGATTTGTGCATCCATTCATTCTCATTCTGTGAAATGAGGTCTTTGTAAACTAAAGGCTATGAATAGAGTTCTCAATCGAAGTATTTGGTAAGTAAACGAAAAGATAAAACAAAGAACAGAAGTGGGATATTTGAGCTTTTAAACTACGCAATGAGAGTTGCTCCCTCAATCTCTAAGCGTCCCTCGCGCGCATACATTTACTAAAAGAACAGTGCCAGCGGTATTTTATGGTCACTGGCCATTCGCTCAGCCTCTCACCACCTTTAGAACTGACTTCATTATTCTTTTTTTCATTTCTTTAGCATAATTTTTTATTTCTTCCTGTCTTTTAATGTTTTTCTTTTTGCATTTTCGCTTCGTAATTCCCCAACTTCCTTGTCATTTGTTCGCTGTCCTCGCGATTTGTTGACAAATTACAAGTCGGAAGTTGACTGACCTTTGACATTGACGTTGGCGAACTCGTAAAATTTCGCCTCACAGTGGACAGCTGTCTTTGAAAGGGAAAATATTTATTTACATATATGTGAGTGTGTATGAGTATGTATTGTGATAATTTATCTGCCAATATTTTTACTGTCATCGCTTTCGCTCACTTCGCTTGGTGTCAGCATTACTTTCATTTGCTGTCAAAATGTGTGACAAGAACTTTTGTTGCTTCTGAGTTCAGTTGTACTGTTATTCCGATTTTGCCGTGAAAACAATTGTCAATTTATAGAGATTTCTTTTTTAGATTGTTTTTTTTTTTTTACGCATCGTTGGTACCATACTTGAGACAAAATACGAGGGATGTTTAAGGTTAAAATATGTGTCTTTTCTTTGAAGGGAGACCAGGGTCGCATTCATACCTCTCTATTCGAAAGAATACATACCAATTAGACTAATCTCATTCTTTCTAAAGACGTTTGGAAGGATTCTATACCCGCACAACAGGGATGAGTTGCGTTCGGGTAGTATGTCAAGGACTCAACAAACTTATACGAAGGGTATATTCGCTGAAACTGTACATGACTCACTAACAGAAAAAAGAGAACGAGTTCTGGAGCAAAATATGTCTTGGAGGCTTTCTGTACATCAGTGACTATATCTTCTATGAATCAATACTGGAAAGTGTAGAAATAGCCTAAGTAGGGTCTGTCATGCTGCTATGGATAACAGTCTGCTAAGCTGTAGGAAGTTTAATGTGGAGTGGAGCGAGTTCAGAGGCTAGAAGGTAGAAGAAATTCTCAGGACGGTGATTCTGTCACCACTCCGGTGGTACTCTTCTAGGGGAAATTCATAGGCAAAGCAGTACGACATGGCTATAGCTGTTACGGGGAAATTTCTAGACGCCATCAGTAATGTAATTTAAGGGTCGTATATCGATGGCCGTAATCAGCCAACTTAGAGATAAATACTTACAAAATGGATTCGGTACTGTTTACAAGAAGGTAAACGAAGAGCTATCCACCTAGTATCTGTGAGTAATTGTGGGCAGCAAACTTATATGGATGCTAAGTGTAGGGGAAAGTCTGAAAAAGACTGGTGATGTTCTTGCCATTTAAAATGCTGGGTGTCAGATGGGGTCTATTCCATGACCTCCTGCATTTGTCTTGATTAGCGGTAGTTCAGCCAATACTACACAATAGCGATCTGGTGTGTTAGACCGCAGCCAACAAAACCTGGTAAAGAAAAAAAGGGTTGGAGCAATTACAACGGCTGGTTGAACTGTGCATAAGAGGAGTGGTAAAGAAAACTCTAATGGCGGAACTTGAAACATTCATCGGCATTGCGGTGCTGCGAAATCCGCCAGACTGAACTGAATTCTCCGCTGGAACTTTTAGACACAGCTCGATATGCAGAGGTTTCAGCTCGAAAGCAGAATACAAGTTATGGTCAAGGTCATCTACATCGATGGCTCAAAAATGGCTGATTGATTGGGCGCCGGAGTCTATTACGCTGAGGTAGATCTCAGGAAACCCTTCAAGCTCCAAGAGTGCTGCAGTATTTTCATCGTGGAGGCGCTGAGATGGCTGGCGATGCAGAGGACCATATATATTAATTTATACATGCATATGTCGACCGCCAGGCGGAAATTAAGGCTATAATGCCACATCGTATTGCATCAGAAAATATCCTTAGAAGCAGGGAAGCAGTAGACCGAGCAGTCGAGGGTAAACAGCTACATATATACCGGGTATCAGGCCACAAGGGTTTTATGGGTAACGAAATAGGTGAAGAGATTACTAAAAGTGTCACCCATCTTACTAGGGAAACTGAAGAGGATATACAAAAGTCGCTAAGATCGATCTTAAATGAAATTTCCGAAAATGCACGAAGACAGAGCAGAGTGAGAGGGAACGCCTTAGCAACATGCGAACCCACCAAGATCAAGTGAAAGGGGAAGCAAAGAAAGCACCAACTTCAGGTTTACGTAAGTACTACAGAACAGTTTTTGGCTTTATGATTGTTCACAAATTCCTGGCACCCTAAGCTAGCTGAATAGGCATTAGTAGCAGTGTCATATGAAGGCAGTACAGGGAGAAAGGCATAAGATAGATGTTATAACACCTTTTCTTTTTCCGTGCGGCCTTACTCAGAACTTATCTTTGATATCTCGAAGCCTCGCAGTTCAAAAGACTAGAGGAGGCTTCAAACAAAGCGCTCTTAAACTTCGCGAAAGCCATTGATGCTCTACAAGACGACTACTTCAGACCGCAATAAAACGAACCTTCTTTGGCACAACAAAGGACCTGGGGGTCTTTGTAAAGCGCATAAATCGGCCAGCGTAACCTAACCTAAGAGATAAGATGGAAAAAAATTGTGGAATATTAAGTACAAATACAAGCGTATTTCGTTGAGGGAAATTGTGATAATTAAGGTTTCTAAATAGAAAAAGAATAAAGAACTAATAAAATCGTAAGTTTGCCCCAAAAAGATCGTTCTTGTTGCTTTAGAATATTTTTATTTTATTTTCTTTCTTCATTCGCTTTTTTTTCAATTTTATTGCGCCTGCTCTTTTGACTTTTATACATATATTTATAATCGTGCGTTTGCATGAGCGTTTAAAGAACACTTTCAATGCGTGGTATAATTTTTTGTCGCCAGCCAATGAAGCGTCCCAATTTCTTAGTTCAACTATAAATAAAAAAACGCGCTTTGCCTAGCCGTGCCTATCAGTTGGTGCGCACGTCCGCCCGCCCGTCCGTCCGTCGCATCGTTCAATGTTGTCTTCAGACAACAAAGTTTGAAGGTTAATTATATCACACACGTACGCATTAAAATATGGACTGCGGTCTCTGCGCTTTAGGTCTTTGGGTTTGCTTTCTTGGTTTTTCGGTTTTATGTAGCACTTTACTTGTACTGATAGTGCGAAAGTCGTAAACGGCATGGCGTGGTTTGTCTCTAAAAATTAAATGTCTTTGCTTCTTGTGCCATTAAATATTTTATTTATTTATTTTTTATTTATTTATTTTTTTTTCATATTATTAAATTTTGTGCTCTTCGCTCCCGGTTTACTTTGCGTGCTTTGATAATTTTTATTTATTTTAAGTTTTTTTATTTATTTTTTATTTACTTTTAACTTATACTATTTAGCTGGAATTCGGATTGGATGAAGGGTGATGAGCTCTCATATTTATGTAACCAAATACGCGTGCCATGATAAGCCGCGTAAGCTCTGTCAGTTGCGTCTATGGAGATTATGTGTGGACTTTTTTATCTATTGAGCAAAACACATACTTGACGAATGTTGGCTTTCAAGTGTTCAAGAGTTAAAAAATTGCTCGCATTACTTGCACGGTCTTACGCTTAGTCTCACAAAAAGAGTCGAACGGAGTCAAATCGCACGAAATCGGTAACCAATTGATACCGTAAAGACGAGAGATTACGGGAAATTTCTCTCGCACTAAGCCATATTCGCTCGTGCTGTGTGGCATGTGACACCTTTCAGTGTGCCAGACTTTTTACTAAAACAAAACAGGCTTAACAGTTAAGTTTGACAGATATCAAAATACAGCCCTGTATTTTTAAAACCACGAAATGGTTATCCCCATACAATTTGGACCTGCAGGAGGAGAACAGTAAGAACTGCCTGTACATTCCGAGCATCTTCTGAGAAGATATTGTCTGAAAAACTTACAAGAATGAAGAAGAAGAAAATGATGATTAGATGTAGGTGTGTTCCTCGACAAGTTATTGAGAAGAAGAGACGCTTGCATATGCGAGAGGCTACCTTATTTTTATTCTCAGTCTGCTGCTTGTATTGTCATAATAACTCGATAGAGTGCTCTCGAAATATTTAGTCTTGAAGATGTGAAAGTATGGTGTACAAAAGCACTCGGAGCTCACTCTCGCGCTGAACAACGTCACTCATTAAATGCTCCAAGAAATGCATAGAATTTTCGTGCTTTCTGCTCTTTTCGAATTCCAGTTCATCTAAGAGCTGTTGATAAGGATATTTCCTAACTTACATTAATCTTTCAGGCGCTTCTCCAACTGATCTATCTAATGGTATGGAAGTTTTCGTCTTACTCTGCTTTCACCAGAGGATACTGCACCGAATGCTTTTCGAGCAGGTGTATTTTTTTTACTGATCTAGCCAGCTTAGGTGCAGTCTATTAAGTTGCTTACCTATGCCTTCATATGCCACAAAGCGTCACTCAAATGCAGAGGACCATAATTTTTCCGCAAACCCTCGACGACTGAAAAAGCCAACTCAACTGTTGCGATCATCGTTCACGTTTCTCTAACAAAGGTGGAATGGGAATGATGAACGAAGTGCAGAGTTTGGTATTTCTTTGTGTTTGCAGTCATATTGCTTTTGGTAAATCTTACTCTTCCATAACATTTTTTTCCTTCCCTTTTCAATCCCTCTTAGCAGGAATCCAGGGTAGTGAAGACTTCTTTTCTTTAATCTTTTCATATAGAGATTGACAAGAGTCTATCATTATTTCTTTGTAAATCATGAATAGCGGCCGCAATAGCCGAGTAGATAACAGTACGTTATATTTTTCGGAATGCCTTGGTTCGAGTCCTGATCCGACCAACATCTAGAATAATAGAAAATTATTTTTTCTCACACTGTGGTAGCCTCTCGGTAGGGAATGCCAGGCTCACTGGGGATATTTCAAACATGAAATGAAAGCATCTCATAAAAGTCAAGCGTTCGTTCGGAGGCTATTGGCAAAACATCTAGATACACATTACAATTTAGCACGAGCTCACTTTAGCTCACTTCGAATTGGATGAGCGTGTGGCCGTCAAAAACTTTTCCCACTTCCGGGCATGTCTTCCCATGGTTTCTTTCTCATGATTCGGCTATAAGAGGTACCTGATGCGATTAAGAGGAAGTCTGTGCCAGTAAAGCTTTACAACTTTTCACTATCAATCTCATACCATCCCATTAAATTACTGTCATTGTTATCCTCATCACATTGAGCCACTAAATAAGTGTGGTGAATTGGCACACTTTAGCTCGTTCCTCTTTACTATGCTTCTTGTTTGTCCTTCCAGCTGTGACTATATATATACATTCTGTTGTCTTGGTTCGGCAGAAATGACTTTTTCACACGATTTCTCATTTCTCTTAGCAAAAAGTAGGACTTAAGCGACAACTATGGACCCGATGGTGACGTGGCAGTCGAATAAGAATAATTTGCTAGGTGTGGTATTCGAATTGGACATTTAAACAGGTAAGCTTAGCGTTTGGGCAAATTTCAAAAATATCCCTTTGCACTCACAGGGGTATGTTTTAATGGTATCTAGAAGTTAAATTCCCTCTGCTTCGTGAATAAGGACATTGTGGCAGACCCTCAAGGCAAAGGAGTCATGTAAATTCCAGGTCAGAAATTTGTGGACTCATTAAATGCTAGCAATGTTACTGATGCGACTTTCACAAAGGCAGGATTTTCAAGCAACCTGGAATCGGCAGGTTTGAAGAATAAACGCAGCTACTCTACAGGGAAAGGCTTGATAATATAGGAAATAGAAATATCGAGATTTGAGCCGATTACTAGGAGTGCCGGTCAAATATCAATTGTCAAACATTAAACACAATTCTCTACCGCTTTGTCGAACTCACTCAATTTAAGAGCTTCCATAGTGGACAACACCTGCTTCTACAATATAATAAAGAAAAAAACGCCTTCTTAAGAGTGAAGGAGCGTGCACTAGAAATACAGTAAGTCATAACCACATGGTTGTGAGAGAATATTTTTAATATAATTACAATAAAAAATATGTAAATATTCCGACACGTGTAAGTGGGATTTACATACTAACGAATAAATAATTAAATCCATATGCTATTTAATAAAATTATTAAAGCTTATTAAGCAGTGCGATTGCTTTCATAATATTTGTAATAATATTCGTAGTTTATGTCATAACATTTTTCTTTCATTTTTATTAGAATACATTTAGAACAACCGAAAATCACTTCAGCGGCCGTAAAGCGACAATTATACAATATACGAGGGGATTAACAAAAGTTCGGTAAGTTGATCAGAGAAAAACAAAAACAAAAATATTTTTGTATTTATTCGTAATCTTTGTCCTTTTTTATCTTCTCTACATAATCACCATTGATATCAAAACATCTCTTAAGCCTATAAATCCACATCTGAAAACAGTCTTCAAAATCTTGCTTTTTAAGCTTATCCAGTTCAGCATTAACCACATTAATTAACTCCTGGTTGCTATAAAAGACCCTTGATTTAATTGTTTTTTTCAATTTTTGGAAATAACCAGAAATTACAAGGTCATAGGTGGGATGTCGCGTTGTCATGGTGTAAAAAGTAGCGCCGCAAATCCTATTCTTGTTTTCAAATACATTTTTAAAAACTCTTTGTAAGCACCCTCCGGTGTACCATTTTGCGGTTACCATCTGGACCATTTTGCAGCTACGACTTGAGAGAGTGAGGAGTGAAGTAAACTGATATCGTTACTTTTGCTACTGATTTTGGACTGCTTAGATTTTACCGGTAGGATTGCTCCTGTTGGGCTCCCCACATTGGACTGTAGTTTGGTTGCTGAATCGTACTAATAGAACTAAAACTCCTCACCAGTAACAACTTTACTAAAATTGCTAGACTGACTATTTTGGAGTTTGTTTACGAAAAATTAATCAAAATGCACTCGAGCCTCTTTTTGGGCTCCATTTAAAATGCAAGATACCCATCGAGCAGATTTCTTCGTGTATCCCAGATGATTACTTAATATTCACGATACAGCCATGACACTCGATCGCAGTTCATTATCAATCATATCCTGTGTCAATCGTGGGTCTGCATTAATTTTGGAGCTACAATGACGTCATCAGTGGAAGATTTCAGTCGACTTTCTGGGACTCGTCCTGTAAGGCAAAATGTTCGGTCTGGAATCTTCGTTGTAACTTAGAAATAGTCTTTAAATACGTTGTAATCGTTCCATATGCAATTTGGCATTCAGTGAATATATGTCTGGGCTGTAAATTACGCCGAAGCCCGAAGCTGATCACATGACGAGTCTCTGTTTGCGTTGGTGGTGGAATTTCGTCTGACCTATCCTCAGCTATCTTACGTTTTCTCGTCTTTATTTTGCAAAGGGTTTGGAATTTTTAGATTTAACAAAAACAAATTGAAAGCCAGCAACTAACCGTACTTTTTTTAATCCCCTCGTATGTACATACTTTCATGTAAAACTAACTAACTCCATCGTCACATTTAATGGAAGAAAGAAAAATATGAATATTAAATAAAAATTTATGCTGTTTGTAATTTTGAACTTCATTATTGTTTCTAAATCATAAGTCAAACTGTTACTTCATTTCATTTTCCAACTTTGCTAACTTGCTAATTTGCAATCTGTCTATCGTTCTCAGTTAATTTTAACTACAAGTCTTTACTCAAGAACTATTTCTCTGCCAGTCAGTCAGTCAGTGATAATTGTGGGAATTCACAGCACCGCCTGGCACGATGCAATTAAAATTGTAATGTTGCAGTTTTTGCTTTTTCAAAACTACACTCATTTGCATAATAACAATATGTATTGTTAAATCTAATCTTTAGATAGAGATAAATTTACCTTTTCCACTTGAAGGGTTCGCCTTTTCAACTATTGGATATGCATACTAGCTTTACCCTGCGACGATTCGTTGTTGCACATGCTCTTTGTACGTGTATGTGTGTGGGTATATGGCATTTTTGGTTTCACCATTGGCCATGCAACCACACACCACCACAGAATAAGCAACATACAATTCTCCCGTGCGAAGCAGTCTGTATCTCAATGTGGACCACACAATTCATAAGACTGTCTTAGAACTTTGTTGATGGTGGTTGCATTCGAAGGTTGAACAAGGAACTGAAGTCGATTGAATTAAAAGAAAGTAAAAGATGGATTTGAGTAATGAAAACGTCTTCTTCACCTTTGAAAGATCCGGTCAGAATCGTTGCTTTTATTACGTTCCTCTACTATAAGTCGTGGGCGGTTATGAACACACGTAGCATTATGATAGGCATGGCCCCTTTAGTCCAAAGATGCTGTTAAAAAAAATTCTTGAAAAAAATTCATCTGCAATGGTGTCTATTAACTTGAACTGAAAGTGGGGCTTAGATCGAAGACCCACTAAAGTACAGAAGTTACCGGTTAGTGTAATCCATCCGGAAGTCCCTTCAATTGACCTTTGGTCGTTAACCAATTTTAGTAACTGGCGTGAAAATACATCGGCCGATGGATCATTTTGCAAGTCCATAAGCAAGTAGTGGTCTTGTCCACTGATGTTGATCGAGGAATGGCAGGCAGTATTGTTGTGTGAAAACTTCAGTCGGTCGGTTGAACCCGCGCGGAATATTTTAAGCATTTTTTTGTTAAGGTGGTAGCACTGTCCTTAATTTCGCGCGATCTGTCAACGAGTTTGTTTGTAAAAGTTGTGGAACTCAGTCGATCTCAGTTCCCTCTGCGAATTTTCTTAACGGCCTCAATCGAATCGAAACGGGTTTCACGAATTGGTAACTTGAGTTTTGGAAACAAAAATAATTCGCATGGGGCGAAATCTGGTGAACACGGTGGTTGATCGATGGTATTGAATGAGTTTTTGATCTTAAAATCGTTCACAACTACAGCTCGGTGCGATGGCGCATTATCGCCATGAAGGCTTCAGGAAACTGTTGGCTCACTATACCGGTGCATGTTTTCGCAAAGACGCCTTAAAACGCTCAAATAATACTATTTATTGACCGTCTGTCCCGTTAGAACGAATTCATGATACCGAGTATCAAGTAAATCTAATCATAAGTAAAACTGTATCTAAAAGGCAATCCCTGGTACACTTTCGGAAAATTTTTTTTGTGTTAACCTACCCAGGATCTATAGAAACAATCTGACAAAATTGCAAGCCAACTGGTTAGTAACTTTTGGTGAATAACGGATCTTTACAAAAGCAAATTAAATTTTTAATAAAAATTTTGAGGGAAAAAATTTGCTGATTTGGATCCTAATTTCGGCTTAAATATTTATATAAGAATTTGGTCTAATTCCGAAATTAATCGGTGACGATTTACTTACACCTCACACTTTCATAGTAACTCTTGGAAGTACATATTGGCCAAGTAAAAAGTTCGTTCGGTTTTTTTTTTTATTGATTTTTCAAAATATGATAACTTTGGCAAAAACCTCGGAGAGGCCTGTCTTGAGGCCAACTTTTCACCAATAAGCGCGTTCGCCATGGACAGGAAAACATGGTAATCACTTGTTGCCAGATCCGGACCATAAGGTGGGCCGGTGTGTGGCCTGGCGTTGTCCTCTGTTGATCAAAGATGGCCTCTTCTGGATGAGTGCTGCCTTCAAGCAGTCCATTTACTGGCAGTAGGGAGACCGATTGAGTGTTTGGCTATAGGGGAGCAGCTCATTGTAGATGATTCCCTGCCAATCCCGCCAAACACACAACAAAACCTTCCTGGCTGTCAATCCGGTCTGGGCCACCGTCTGGGCCGCTTCTCCAAGCTTTGACCACGATCGTTTGGGCTCGATGTTGTCGTAAGTGACCCATTTTTCATCGCCAGTCGCAATCCGTTTAAGAAACGGGTCGATTTTTTTGCGATTCAGCAGCGATTCGCAGATGGAAATTCGGTCCATCATGTTTTTGGCTCGTGTGCCACCCAAACATCGAACTTCTGCAAATGGTTCCAAACCGTTTTTTTTCCTCATCCTTAGTTCCTCAGCAATTAAATTAATGCTCAGGTAACGGTCTGTTTCCACTATTTCCTTGATTTTATCGCAATTTTCGACGACAGGCCTCCCGACGCGTGGTGTATCTTTGACATCGAAATAACCGGAACGGAACCTAGCAAACTACTTGTCTACACGTTCGTTGACAGTATCGGACCCATAAACTAAATTAATTTTTCCAGCCGCTTTGGCTGGTATTTTGCCTTGATCGAAGAAAATTTGTAAAATATAGCGAATTTTTTCTTTGCTGGTGTCCGATCTCGATTTATAGAAATTTCCTCCTTAACACGAAAACCCCCGAAACGAAGGGCAAAAAACTATATCAGTAATCATCTGTGGCCAAGGTGCATGTAAATATGTGGCCAAGGTGCATAGGAATGGAATTATATATGTACATATATAAGTATGCAAATTAATAATGAATTGCAATTTTTTTTATAGAAATCACCTGAGTCAGATGCATATCTATTAATAAAGTTTATATGATAATTATAATAATAAATTTTATCAGCTCCCTTAGGCAACGCCTTCGCAGGCCTCACCATCCGTAACACGTCTATACACCCACTGCCTTGCTCCAGCCTTTAAGGTTTACCGCCCTTGATACTCCAACCTATTCCACCAAAGGGTTTGGCTTCCGCAAAGGAAAGATCTTAAGATATCAGGTCCTTTCTCCCCTCTTTTGCAGTTGCCGGTTGTTAGTAAGCTCAAATGCTGAAGCGATTTTCGGTTAGCTCCTCTTCTTATTTGTGTTATGAATTTCCTTTCCATCAAATGGGATATTTATAAGTAATTCATGTTAAAAAGACACTCTGGGTTTTTGAAATTCCCTGCCGAGCAGTGACTGCGATTTGAAAAATTTATTTTCTATAATTTTGAATGTTTTTCGGATCACGGCACGAAGCCTGGTCATCAAAATGGTAGAAGGCATTGCTAACCACTCGGATATTGTGGCCGCCATGTAT